GCCAGCCAAAATGTCCTCACTTTGCAAAACTTTCCTCATTCCTCCCTCTGCAACTTTAATTGGCCCTCATAAAGAGAGAGGTTCAAGAGGATATTTGGATTTAAACATAAAAACCAGGCTAATGTGCATCTGTGCTCTACATGGTACGTAATCTGCATAGTTATGCTTTACGCAATGTCCATTACAACATCTCTCTCTGTTTCACAAGTAGATTCTCTCTCTCTCTCTCTCCTGCTCACTCTGATGTCGCTCCTTTACATTCATACAAATGTAACCATGTCACCAAAACCAGGCTTAAGTGTTTATCTTGATGCCTTATGCCATCAACATATGAATCATGCTATGTATTACACCAATGCTGTTTCCCTTCCAAACACAAACATATAACCTCCCCCTTCCTGTGAATCTCAAGGGAGTCCTGCCACACATTCTTGAGTGTACACTTCATTGGAGCAATGATTCAGAGCAGCTCATAGCCAAATAAGACGAAACCCCCTCAGCTTGCCTACTTTGTCCGCATATGAGCTGCTGCTGTAGCTACATGGACTTGGCCACTTGTGGATTCATACACAAAGACAGAAAAACTTTGGGCTGCAGTTCTGTTAGAGCTGAATGCTATTTGTGATCAGCGACTCAGAAATTTGATTTTTAAGCCACTATTATGTGTACAGCAAAAAAGAGAGAAAAAGGAAAAAAGGGGAGAGGGGGTGTTAGCATAGGACAAGTGCAGAGTAGCCCTGGACTGGTCTGTTTAGACTTGAGCTGTGCCATTTGGCCTTCAAAAATTCCAGACATGTGCCAAACTGCAATGAACTTTGACTCCATTGTCTTGAATTTTTCAGGCTTCCCTGTTCTAAACTGGCCCGTATTGCTGTATGTGATTACCCTGAAAAGTCCCAAACTGAGAAAGCAGGAGATTGTTACTCAGCTCTTTTGATTACACGTTGGGCTCAGGGCTTTATTTGTTGAAACTTTTTGTTATCAGACTTAGTTCTTGCTTTTTCTTCATTCTTTTACCCCATCGCCTTTTCTAGAGCTAAATTTACAAAAGTTGTAACGTGACTTTCAAGAACAGAAAAGAACAAAAGTGGTACCTACCTATCCCTGAAAAAGGGCTCATGCTAGTGACTAGTAAACAATAAAGTTGTCCCCTTCTCAGAGAAGCTTTAATCATAGCCATTTTTTAAAGCAGGCAGATGGATACGTCCTTTTGCAAATATGTTACAAATGTGTGGAAAATGTGTAATGTTGTTAAAGACTTACAAAAGTCACCTATACTGTGTTGGTTTCTTTGGGGCTATTATGTGTGGACAGGCATGCTCTCATTGTGCTTGCATGGGGTTTCACCTCCTCTTGGATAATTCTTAATCAACCTTAGATGGGAAGCAAATTACATAACACACCGAAGAGCATAAAAATGCATAGAATGAGGTGTTAGATGAATAAAAAAAGAGCAATACATCTTCAGGTGTAAAGTGCATTAAGTGTTTGATAAGAGTTGAAATGTAAGTCTGTTCCATTATTATCCATTATATTTCAGAGTTTTATATTCGAAACTTTAATCATTTGGATCTGGAAGATTGGAATATTTTACTATAAGAGTCAAATCATGAATCTGTCTTATAACAGTGAGGGCCCAACAGTAAAACTAGCTTTGCTTGCTGTAATCATTGATCTTTTCCAGTTTGTTCCAGAGAAGTCTGTTCCCGAACCACTTTTACTGCAGAGGGACAAAATCCACAGTCATTACTCTGTAAATTTACATGGCAAAGTTGATCTGAAGCAAATATGAGGCTTGAGCAGTTTAGCTTTGTCAAATCTAGGCAATGTTTCCCAATATCTAAATTAAAATCACCTCTTTTATTACAATCTCTGCACCACAGCTAATTAAGGGAAAGGGGGGAAAATTGTGAATTCTTCTGTTACTTCAAATATAATTCATCAAGAAATTGCTTTCTTTGTCTGTTTGAGGACCAAAACCCTTTTCAGTGTCCACTTCAAACTGCCTAAACATAAGAGGTTAAACAAATGAATTAATTCTGTTGTTTAAAGTTTCCATTATCTAGTAAAAAAGTTTCAGCTAACGAGACAAACCAGTCCTTCATATTATCTGCTGACAGTGGTGAAGGGTTTTAGAGGTGTAAAATGTGTAATGTTCTCACAAATAGGAAGGTTTTATTTATAAAAGTAAACTATTGACTATTACACCTGAGTCATAATCCAAATGTATGTGTGATGATTAGTGCTTCAGTGATCTTTTACACATGACTGATGATAATAAGTTGATGACCCAGAATGAAGCAAAACACAACATGAAACAGCTACATGACAGTCAAAATTCCTCCTTATTCCTCCTTATGTCTTTCTTGGAAAAGTGTGTGTGTGTGTGTGTGTGTGTGTGTGTTCACGCTGTCCGATGCAGGGGAATGGACTTCCTGTTCAGAATGTGTTGTCATGTTGACTAACCAAGGACACCAAAAAAGGGAAAGGACCTGGCCTTCAGAATAAAAGCTTGGTATGTGCAGTCTAGTTAACATGATTAAAGGCATTTTAACAATCCCAAAGCTATGGAGGCTAAATAATTTGATAATAGTCTATAAATAGAGCATTATATTAATAATGTGTTATATAAGGCCACAAACAAACATACAAACAAACATTGGTTTAATAAATATACATAGATTAGTGTGTAATAATGATTTCCAAAACAAATGAATATGTTCTCATAAACTTGCCTGAATTAATCCATTAATATATAGGACTTGAGCCAGTTTGTGGAAGTCACAGTGTTGCCTCTCCAACTTGAATACAGTGTCCGAGATAGTGAAAGGGACATCCCTTTCCTGCCTAACTGTGTCTTACGTATGTGATTAGAAATTGGCCAAATACATAGTACGCCAAATGTGGAGGACAAGAGAATTCATGAGCATTTGTGTGTTGTGGATACAAGTTTTAAATTGCACAAAAACAGGGTTATTTTAACTTCAAGGAAAGTTTCACTAACACAGGCAAACAGAGGCTAACAGTTGCGAACAAGTGTTATTGGCAGAAAACGTCAGGATGTTTGCAACAACTCGCCTCAATATAGGGCTGGTTAATCTGGGATACCAGGCATTTTCCTGGTGGGCCGATGGGCCCAAAAAGTGACTCAAGGGTAAAAACATAAAATACTGCAAAATATTTGACACATAACCTTTTGTTGTTTTTTTTTTTTAACTCTTACACCTATTGTTAAGTATATGTATTCCTCAAATATATTAAAATATTTTTTTAATATATACAAACAGTAACAGAAAAAAAGTTGGTTATGTGGTACAGTCTAAATTTAATGTTTTGATCTCCTTTGGCTGACTACAACATGTTTGTCCTATAGCAGCCACCATAGTACTGAGAAGATTTGACTGCAACAGTGTTGGGGAGTAACGGTACCGCCGTTACGTATTTAAAATACAAAATATGAGTAACTGTATTCCGTTACAGTTAGGTGGTATTTAGAATACAGTTACTTTGTTGAAATAAATGGATTACACGGTGGTACTTCCTGTTTCATATTGTGGCGGGTCAGG